ACAACAAGTTTTGTGCTAGTTTATGAAGTCACACTCAGAACCCTGAATAATAGAGAAAACAGGTTTTATTATTTGAAATTGGTTCTAAAGATTGTGTCTCCTGATTTCACTTCCTAACTTTTGCAGATCATCCAGTTTAGTTATAAATCAACAAAATATAAAGTAACTGTAAGTTTCCTACAGGTTTGCTTTAACGTTATTCTAATATCCTGAATATAAATCATCTATTTTTTGTGAATTTTAAACCACAAAATGTTTTAAATACACAATATCGAATTCATAATGCGAAGAAGTTATTATCAGCGGCAAAAGATTTCCAGCCAATGTTTGGAAACAGCGTACAATTATTGGCCATCGGAATGGTCCAAGTTGATTGGGCTCAAGAGCTAAAGCTGGAAGGCTATAGGCAACGACGTTGCTTTGTTGATCGGATTTTGGACAAACCTGAATTAACATTTTCTCAAAAATCCTATTTCATGATAAAACCCATTTTGACCTTGATAGATTCATTAATCGAAAAAGTAGTTATGTATTTTGGCGTTTAATAAACTTTTCAGAGATGGCATCATCGGACCATTTTTTCGTAGAAAATGCAGTTGCAACACTTAGCTTCATCAGAGAGTATAATATTATGCGATAAATTGATCCATGTACCGGTAGTTGTCGAAATACCGCAATTTTTAAAATGTGTAGACATTCCGCAAACGTTTCAACAAAGGCTACGTTTTTGAGCAATCTGCAAAATGTCGACCGCGCCATTAAATCTGAGGTTTAATGCTGTTTACATATCATATTGACTAAACCAGGTGCACAATACTTGATGCTGCCGAATTCCGCTGCTTAGTTTCATAATGGCCATCAAGAAGAAGTATTCCCAAGATATTCATCAATTCTTAGCCGTACTGACTATTATGCTCCAACTGCCTGTATTTGTATTTTAATTCTTCTCCTGTAATAATTCTGTTGATCATGACTTGAATCAAGAGCAATCAATTAATAACGACGTTTAAAGGTGATTCAAAAAAAAATTTACAAGGAGGGTGACGCATTATTTCACTTGCACATCTCGCTAACAAACATTTTCTAGTAAAACAAAAACTAACGAATACGCAAAAGTACAGCCGATAGACGCCGGAGTTCGTCAGGAATGCTTGCTGACTTCAGTGCTGTAGTCAGTACGCTTTTCGGTATTATGCTAATTTTTATTATGTATATAATTCGGCCATATTTGCAACTCATGCTAGACCGATAATGGCATTGAAGAATCTGAAGAGAAACTTGGAAGGCATCTAAAACTGTTTTATAAAACGGCGAATTAGAGCAAGCGGAACAAAGTCCACAAACAGAACTTTCTCTAAGAGGAAAGAAACATGTCCATGTTTGTTTCCAGCCATTACAAGCAGAAAACGTAAGATATCTTGAAATTTATATAAATCGGAAACTTACATCAAAACACCACATCTTCACTAAGAGAACATTTGGAAACCATATGTAATAAAATGTTTTGAATGCTAAAGCTAAATTAATCTAGAAAACAAGATTCTGGTGGACCAGGCTATTTCCAAGCTAATCCATGGATGGAATCCATTTATAGGGTACCGTCAGCAATAGAAACTTGGAAATTTTGGTTTAGTACAAAAACAATCTGTTAAGATGTATTATCCGCTTTCCGTACTATGTACCAAATTGGATTATAGGAAATTACTTAAATGTTTTGACTGTGAAGGAAGTTAATGCACAATCCAGTGCTAGTTGCCATAGAAGGTTCTTGGCTAAACAAGTTTTTTATCACACAGGACAACTTTTTCACAACTTTAGTTTTTTCTTTAGTGTACATTGAGTTTAATTTTAGTATAATTTTATTTGTTTTTTCATCGCTAGCCATTACGAATCATATACTGAGAAGCGAAATATTGCCAAATACAAGTTTTGGCCATATGGTTTTGACATATTTTGGAACCTGCCTAAAAATTTCTAATATACAGGGTGTATATCCAGATTGAAAAAAGTGGTACTAATTTAGCAAAATGCCTGGTGAGTTGATCAGTTTGCATAATATGCAAAATGCCTAGATATGGTCCTGAACACTTGCACTTTACAGGGGTCTGGGGTGACAAATCTCGATTTTTAAGAATATCGATCCCCCGATTCCCTGCAAGAAGTTTATTAGGATTTTAATTTTTATCTAAAGCAGTTCATACAAAATTATGAACAATTCCGTAAACAGTTGATTGCGCAACAGAATTAGCAGGATACTTTGCATTAAAGAACACCGAAACATCTTTTTGACTCGGTACTTTCTATATCAAACCCAACAACATTAAAATTTCAGTTCGAATTTTTTTTAAACGTTACTTTTTATTATTTAAACTTCAAAAATGCGTAAACGTATCGATAGGAAATTTTTTTTTCAAGTTGGTCTGTGATAAATTATTAGATATAAATTGATTAGCTTCTTGCTAAGTCACTGTAAGGATTTAGGATAATTTAAATTATGCGAGTTTTAATGAACCTGAATAAGCATAGCCGATTTTTTTTATACCACACAATACAGATTTGCCATATTTCTAAATTAACCTAATGGATTTACGCAGAAATCCAACACTCCCACTTAATTAGAAATCTGCCGAATATTTATACGTTCGCGCAAATAACAAAACTGCTGTTTAGGTAAAGGTTTGGTAAAAATACCGGCCAGCTGTTCTTTTGTTTCAACAACTTGATGTCTATTTCCTTTCGGCTCAATACATCGCAAACAAAACGAAAACGCACATCGATGTGTTTTGATCGCTTATGAAATTCGGAATTATTAGATAATCTAATCGCGGATTGATTATCGACATGTATGGGAATGAGTTCGCACGCAATGTTCAAATCTTTAAACATTTGTCGCAACCAATAAGCTTCTTTTGTACCATGGGCTAGTGCAATGTACTCAGCTTCCGCTGTTGATAGAGATACTATGCTCTGCTTTTGACTAGACCAGCATATTGGTTCTCCATTGAACAAAAACACGAATCCGCTTCTTAATTTTCGCGTTTGTAGGCATACGGCATAATCGGCGTCAGTGAAGCCAGTTATGTCGATGTAACTCCCACTGCCTCCGAAAACAATACCGTAATCGCGAGTACCTTTCAGATATCTCAAGATCCTTTTTACAGCTTGCCAATGTTCTTGGCCAAAAGAAT